GACTGATGGCAGAGTAACTGGAGGATTCAAATCACCAAACTTACCTTTAACAGCTGAGCTTTAACCACTGAGCCTCCAGGGCTGCCTCCCAAGGGCATTCTTAATTTACATTCTGCATGAAGCTCTCTAGGTCAAAGTCCGTTTCTAGAATTCAATCTAAGACATCCTCCAAGCTCAGGCTGAGATGTCGGGAAACCCAAATGCTGCTAACTCAGCCCCTTGACGCTGGGCACGCCAAGAGCTGCACAGTAACCAGCTGTTAAGCCTTAGCTCTGCTGATCTTCAAGTTGGTTGTTTTGTGTACTTGTCGCCTCTCACCGAGGTCCAAGAGAATTGTCTAAAAGCAAGATAATGCAGCTTATAACCATACTTCAGTGGTGGCTTCTACTCATGAGCCTTTCTTTTCCACTTGAAATTAAATGACTAGGGAAAATTGTCAAAGAATAATAATAAAGCCTTCAGCAAGACAAAGACAAATTTGAGAGTCTCTTCTAGGAAACATGACCAAGCTTGTCCTTCCCAAGGAGAGGAGAAGGGCTATTAGCACTTATGAGCTCCGCAGGGGGTTCAATGTTATACAGGAGTATTTTTAGTCAAGAGACAAAGAAAAATGTGGAAAATAAGCTGATTGATTGAGAGACAACCTAATTTTTAATCTGGACATCTTTAATAGATTCAGCTACGCAGGTTTATCCATCTTATTTTACCTGGATTTACCTGGATTTCTGTCCTTCACAAGGAGACAGCCTTGATTTTTGTGGCCAGAACAAGTAGTTTCTTTACCCTGAATACACACTAACTGGCCGAGCAATGAGCACCCCAAGCCAGTCAGTCTCCAAAAGCTAAGTTTCATCAACTTTTCATGGTAGTTACACATGAGGAATCAATCTCTTTACATAAAGTCTTTCTGGACTTAAATGCAAACAAAATGTAAATGCTTGCATGCAGTCAGGATGTTCCAAGAAGTTAAAATGTCACAATGTCACATTTCATGTCCACTGGCAGAATGCTAAAGTCTTTGCATCCACCAGCCTTATAATCCTTTGAAGCAGGTGCAGTGCTGTTATTACCCCCATTTTCCAGTTAAACAAACAGAGGCTCTGACAAGGTAAGTAACTGCCCAATGATCAAAAACTTAGTGTCACAGTTTGGATGTCCAGACTAATCTGTCTGATGTTCTTAGTTATGATGTTATATACACAAAGGGTTTCTAGAATGTCATTTATACATCATAACCACTTATATTTTATATTTTAAGGTTTACATATCAAATGTAATATTTTATATTATTTTGACATTTAATGTTGTGGGATCTGGTGTGGGGGTTGTACAATATCTTTGCTATTATTTCTTTTTTTAAATTTTTTTTATTTTATTATTTTTGTGTGAGTGTACCATCAAATCAGATCTGACTGGTACAGGAGGAGATTGTCCCTCCTTCCCCGGCAGAGCATCTGGTGGATTCGAACCGTGCACCTCTGGGATTATAGTTGCAGCTCCTTGCCACTAGGCCACCAGAGCTCCCCTGCTATTATTTCTTTTCAGGATAGTCTAGTCAGTGTCCAAAGGCATTTCTTACTCTCTCATTTATAATAAACTTCAATGTTTTATTGTTTTAAAACTCAGAAGCAAAAGTCAAAATAGAGTCCAAATACTTTTGTCATTGCTGAAAAGAAACACAATGAGGACAAATCATGCCTTTTCTGGTTTGCCTTCTAGTGAGTCAAGTGTCTACTCAAACTGCTGAGCAGAACTTGTTTTCTCCTATTTTTCTGTGGAGGTATGAAATTCAAAGGGAGAAAATCAATAGGTAACTTCATATTTACTGTATAACAACTTCCTTTTTTGTTATTTTCTACCCTCTTAAAATACCTTTAAACATATCATATATTTTAAAATTATATGCAAGCAAAACTCTTTCTTTTCTGTAGCGTGCTTGTTGCAATGTATAGTCTCTGTGGGTCTGCTTCTATCATCTGTTTTGATTGATACTTGCAAGAATTCCAGTTTCCTGTGTGCCCTAGCTATTATCCACCAAGGCCCAATATTATAAAAATTGGGTCTAATGTAAAAGCAGTCAATTTGATTCTTGTATGTTCCATCTGATGAGGTACAGCGTGCTGCTGCTATCCATAAGGCATTCACTGGCGTTTTTTTTTAAGAAGTAAATGGCTAATTGTTCCTCCTAGTCAGTTTTATTCTGGGGCTATGCTGAAAACTGTGCACCATAGGTGACCCTGCTGGTATTAGAACTATCACTGGTATAACTTTTAGCATCACAGCAACATGAAAGGCACTGCAGCACAATAAAATGACCAACAGGTGGTTACGGTGTTGGGGAAAAGGGTAAAAAAATAGAATGATGCAGAAAGTGTCAAAAGAAAATGGAAGCCCCTGAAATTATCATCCTAAAACAACTTCTAACTTGGAATTCAAGACACACCTGCAGGTCACCGCTCAGCCAAATAATAGATGGGCCTATAAAATAAATAATAACTTAGAACAATCAATGACCCAAGACCAAAAGGGCAATGTTTGCTCAGACAAAAGCTGAGAAAGCCAGAAGAGAAAGGAAAATTGGATCAATTGAAACAGAGGACCCAGGAAGGAAATGAGGAGAATGTTGACACATTGAAGGGATAAAACCAATGCCATGAAATAATTTCTTTTATTAATTGGGGGAAAAAATTCTATGTAAACTTTCACTTAAAGCACAATAAAATGTTAAAAAGAAGATGGAAGGATTACATAGTCACTATACCAAGAACTGGCCAATCAATATTAAATCCATTCAAGTGTTAAAGAGTAATGTTGTTGTCATTGTTGTTATGTGCCATCGAGTTGCTTGCGACTCATAGCAATCTTTGTACAACAGCCCTAAACTCTGCTCTGTCCTGTGCCAATTGCACCATCTCTGACACACACATCCCGATTGCCCCAGTCACTGAATCAATCCACCTCCCAGAGGGCCTTCTCCTCCTGTACCTGCCCTCCACCCTCCCACACATGATGTCCTTCTCCAAGAACCAGTCTCTCCTTACAACATGACCAAAGTATATCAGTCAAAGTCTCAGAATCCTTGCCTCCAAGGAGCAGCTCGGTTTAACCCTCTCCAGGATGAATATGTTTGTTTTCCTAGCAGTCCATGGCACCCTCAGCACTCTACTCCAACATGAAAGCTCAAAAGCATCAATTCTCCTTCTATCCTCCTTGGTCATTGTCCAGCTAATGTAGTCAGTTTAAAAACTAGGGTGTGCCTGGTCCAAGGCATTGTATTTTCAATTGTTTCTTATGCATATGAAAGTTAGACAATGAGTAAGGAAGATGGAAGAACAGATGGCTTTGAATAGTGGTGCTGGAGAAGAGTGTTCAATATGCCATGGACTGCCAAAAGGACAAGCAAATATGTCTTGGGCATGTTGTCAAGAGGGGTCAGTCTTTGGAAAAATATATCATTCTGGGAAAGTTAGAGAGTCCGCAAAAGACACGAAGTCCCTCAACATGACGGACTGACACATTGACTGCAATGGTGAGTTTAAGGATGGCAGAGATTGTAAGAACAAGGTTCCGATCTTTTGTCCATGAGTTTGTTATGAGTCATGGTTAACTTGGAGGCACCTAACAACAACAATCAGCATTTAAGAAGCAAGAGGTAGTCTACGAGCAACAACTGATAAAGTCCAAACTGTACTGAAGGCCTTGGGGGGGAAACAAGGCCCCAGGAACTGAAGGAATATCAACTGAAATGTTTCAACAAACAGATGAAATGCTAGAAGTACTCACTCATCTGTGTCAAAAATTTTGGGGACAGCTACATGGCCAAGTAACTGCAAGAGATTCATATTTATACTCATTTCAAAGAAAGGTGACACAATGGCATGTAGACATTATTGAACAGCAGAATTGATATAGCATGCAAGTAAAACTACACTAATGAAAAAGGAGAAAAAACCCAATCTACACTGATGAGAATTTAAAAATAATTGCAGCTGTGCATTGGCAGGAAACAGTCAGAAATTCCTACTAGATTTAGAAGAGGATATGGAAGAAGGGACATCATTACTGATGTCAATGGATTTTGGCTGAAAGCAATGAACAGTAGAAAGAAGTTGACTTGTGTTTTATTGACTAAAAGCATTCAGCTGTGTGCATCACAATAAACTATGGGTAGCATTGAGAAAAATGGGAATCCAGAACACTTAATTGTGTTAATACAAAGTCTGTACCTAACAGTCATTCAGCCAGAACAAAGGAATGCTGCATGGTTTAAAATCACACAAAAAAATATTCGTCAGGATCATATCTTTTTGCCATCCTTGTTTTATCTGTATGCTGAACAAATAATCTCAGAAGCTGGATTATTAAATGTTTATGGAAATTAATAAAATATAATTACAGAAAAAAAAAAAGAAGCTGGATTATATAAAGAAGAACAGAAAATCAGGATTGGAGGAAGACTCATTAACAACTTGAAATATAATTGTTGTGTTATTCACAATAGCAAAGAAATGGTAGCAACCGAAATGCCCATCAACAAAAGAATAGATCGAAAAACCATGATATAGTCACACAATATAATACTATGCAGTACTGAAAAACAATGAACTCATAAAACGTTATACAAATGGGTGACTCTGGAGGACATTATGCTGTATAGCATATCTCAGTCACAAAAGGACAAATACTGCATAGCATCACTGTTATCAAGCAGGACTGACCTGGCAGGAAACTAGGAAAAGAGTGGATAGACAATGAACACTGCATTGGAATATATGATTAGGCATTGTACATATGCCAAGAGTGTCCAGAATAAGAGGTGCATTGCAAGGTGGACTGGGGAAGGGGTAAGAGAAGGGAAAGGAGGAAAATGTGCAACAATGAATGAATGAAAATCCAAATTTTCTGTAAATGTTCATTAAAATCACTATTAAAATTTTTTTAAAAAAAACTATTAAAAAAACCCCTCGCCCTGACTGCAGCTGCTTCTGGTCACGGGCGTTATGGCTTCAAGGTTACTTCGTGGAACTGGAGCATTGGCCGCTCAGGCCTTGAGGGCCCGCAGTCCCAGTGGGGTCGCCGTCGTGCGCTCGATGGCGTCTGGAGGTGGTGTGCCTACCGAGGGTGATCAGGCGCCAGGGCTGGAGCGGGAGGTCATGACGGCTGCTGGGAAAGGCCAGGATCCATACAATATGCTTGCTGCAAAGGCAGCTGCAGACACTAAGGAAGATCCTGATTTAGTTCCCTCCATCACCAATAAGCGAACAGTAGGCTGCATCTGTGAAGACAACAGTGCTGGGATCTGGATTTGGCTACACAAAGGTGATCCTAACTCTGGGATCCATTGCAAGCTGGTGCCCCACCAGTTAGCTCACTGAGTGAGTCCCTGACTGTGCTCATGCTCCCACTGACGTGGTCTAAATGTGCTGGAATGTTTCCTTCTTTCCGATAAAGACTAGCCACTGCTTGGCTCCTTCTCCCATTAAAAAAAAAACAAACAAACCACCACCTCACCCTGAAATACGCAGATAGTACAACTTTGCTTGCTGAAACTCCAGGATACTTGAAGTATTTACTGATCTGATGAAGACCAGCAAATACAGTCTTCAGTATATGGATTACACCTCAGCATAAAAAAATCTAAGAGCTTCGCAACCGTACCAATAAGCCACACTGTGATAAAAGGAGCAAAGATTGAAGTTATCAAGAATTACATTTGACATGGACCACAATCAACACCTGTGGAAGCAGCAGTTAAGAACTCAGAAGACACATTGCAATAAACCAGTATA